GAAACGTCCCGCTTACAAGCACTGGGTTTCTTCTGGCTCCTTACAACTGATCGAAGCCCGTCGGTCTACTCCGGGTGACCGTGAGTTTGACCACAAACGAAGGCTGTTACGTAATGAAATCGAGAAAAGCTTGCGTAAGGACCGGGAAGCCTGGTGGTCGGAGCGTGCTAATGAGATGGAAGCAGCAGCTGCATCTGGTAACTGCCGGAAGCTCTTCCAACTCATCCGAGCCACTGGCAGCAAGAAGTCTGGTGTGAGTGAAACAATCTACGAGGATGATGGGATGCCAATCACTAACATCTTCCGACGTCTTGGACGATGGGCGGAATTCTTCGAAGGGCAGTTCAACTAACCTGCTGCACCGGCAAAATCAACCAGCTTGTCCTGCCCCCCATGGCCGGTGACGACTGATCCACCAAACGAGGCGGAAGTCCGCAAGGAACTCCAACTCTTGAAACGTTATAAATCACCTGGCCCAGATGACTTACCTCCGGCTCTTTTTAAAAATGGTGGTGACTTTCTGGCTAAGGAACTGACTGCGTTGTTTGGAAAGGTTTGGGAGCAAGAAAGTGTTCCAACATATTGGAATGAGTCAATAGTCGTCCCTATCTTTAAAAAGGGTTCACGTTGTTCCTGCAATTACTATCAGGGGATAAGTCTACTTCCGATTGCGTCCAAACTATTGGCTTCTATCATTCTTCGTAGGTTGTTTAAAACCCGAGAACGATTGACTCGCGAGGAGCAGGCTGGTTTTCGTCCTGGTCGAGGATGCATTGATCACATCTTCACCCTCCGCCAAATGTTAGAACACCGTCATACTTATCGCAGGCCAACAATCGTAGTGTTTCTTGATATCAGGGCTGCCTTCTATTCGTTGAACAGGACTGTTCTCTGGGATTGTCTATTGAAGAAGGGTGTGCCTGAGAAGTTCATTAACATCTTAAAGGCCCTGTATACGAACACCTCAGGCAGAGTAAGGGCATACAACCACCTTTCTCCCTTGTTCCATTCGAGCAGTGGGGTTAGACAGGGTTGCCCGGTCTCACCATTCCTCTTCAACCTTGCCATCGACGACATCCTGGAAACAGCTCTGGTGGATGTAAGTAATGGCGGTGTGGATCTGCTGTCTGGAGAACGACTTCTCGACCTTGAGTATGCGGATGATATTGTCTTACTGTGCGATAATGCCCAAGGCATGCAATCAGCACTTAATCAGTTGGCAATCAGTGTCCGCAGGTACGGCATGTGCTTTGCACCCTCCAAGTGCAAAGTACTCCTACAAGACTGGCAGGATTCTCATCCTGTACTCACCCTGGATGGTGAGCAGATTGAAGTAGTTGAGAAGTTCGTGTATCTAGGTAGCTATATAAGTGCTGATGGTGGCGTGAGTGATGAGATTGATGCACGCATAATGAAAGCCAGGGCGGCTTATGCCAATCTAGGCCATCTTTGGCGCCTTCGTGATGTTAGTCTGGCTGTAAAAGGTCGCATCTACAACGCGTCGGTGAGAGCAGTTTTGCTCTATACTTGCGAAACCTGGCCTCTCCGAGTTGAGGATGTTAGACGACTCTCTGTGTTCGATCATCGTTGTCTCCGAAGGATTGCTGACATCCAGTGACAACACCATGTTAGTAATGCAGAGGTTTGGCATCGTGTGTTCGGGCGCAGGGATGATAATTCAATTGGTGTCACCATCTTGAAACACCGACTTCAGTGGCTTGGACATGTTTTACTAATGTCGTCCCAGAGACTTTCACGTCGTGCATTATTTGCCGACCCTGGGACTGGTTGGAAAAAGCGGAGAGGAGGTCAGTGTATGACATGGTGTCGTGGCATGAAAGAAAGCTGCAAAGGGCTAGCTTCTGTTGGTCCCTGGCTGGGGTCCGAGAGATGGTGCAACACAGTGGCTAGAGACGTTATCAGATATGGCTCAGAATAGAAGCCAGTGGCGATCCTGCTGCAACCTTCTTTTACTTTCTACATAAAGAATGGTTCTAACTTTCTTAACTGAAAGAGTCTTCTGGTTGTACATTTCAGCCCGCCTTATCTTTTCATCCCTTCTCTTCCTACTTTCATTATTTAGTGTGGCGCATATGTACCTGGTGCCCTTTTGTACCAATATATATGTGTTTAAATAAATAATAAATAAATAATGCATCTGCGCCGCTATAAACAATTGTGAACCGTGTCACTCAAAATATCCAGCCATTGATCGCGGTTATCAGATGGACTCCAACTAGGGAATCTGTTTCTACCAACGTGGTTCAGAGCAACAGACAATAACTTTATGGACTAACTCCACATACTAGTTTGGCCTTTCCTAGCTTTCTTCATACTTATTCTGTACTCGTCAACATTTTACATCAAGGCAGAGGGTGGTTTGGAATATGAAATACATGTCGCATCTACCTCAGTTGATAAGGATTTACAACCTTACCGACCGATTTTTTATCTTTACTTAGTAAGCTATACCTAACAGCGTCGAACACTGAGCTGTCCCACAAAACGAGTGGAGCGTTTCGTATGAATAAATGGTAGTTATCTATGAATACTCTTTACATTTAAAGATCACTCCTCACAGCCAAAGAGCAGTATAAAAGGGGACCGCTGCTCAGTAAATTAGTTTCATCACTGACAGATTGCTCATCTATGCCATGAGTAGCACAAATTTGGGCAAAACCAACGTGAATTCACTTGGTGTGGTTTGCTTGTATTTTTTCATTGTTGTTTAGGACTGCAAGTGATTAGTCTCTTGTTGGCATATGTGCATCCTGTGCGGACTCCTTGATATTGAGTTATTACAAGCATCCTGGATTCAACTGGACGGGCTGGGCGAGCAGAAGACGAATAAGGACGCTAGGCTGTTCACAACGGTCGAATGTCATTGGTTCCGCACAGTGCTAAGATTGAATAAGTCGTATTTCGATTGGCGAATAAGTCACGTGATAAAAAGCCGGCCTTTAAAGTCACAACAGTCATGAGGCCAAAAGATACCACTATAATGGGGTGTCCATAAGAATGTATACATTAGAAAACCTGTCGTCTGCAACTAATAGACAGCGAAGCAACTCCTGTTGACGTGTACAGTGAATATCCACTTTACGTTTAATAACGAAATCTGCAAACAAATAGACAAAGTAGCAGTCGGATTTCTCCTACATTCAATTCTCGATATTTTTATGGTCAAACTAGAAGTCTGACTATTACATGATACCCTTAATAAGTTGGAATACTATTAACATTACGTAGGCAATATACTAATTATCTACGAAAAATCAATTAACCTACAACAACCGTTAGGGACAGTAAAAAAACGCACATCCATCGACTATTTTTACACGTAAAGAAGAATATAGCATTTTTTGGCGTTGGATGGTTTATTAAGGAATGTATTTAGAAAAGAAACCCGAACGGGACAAAATATCCACTACCATAACTTCACATCTTTCCAACATACATTTATTGTAACTAAACACCTGTCACAGAACCCAACGACTATACGCTGAGAATAATATAGAATTAAACAAAATAAGGATAGATATCGCAGCAAATTCATCCAGAAATACGCAACCTAACTTGAAGTCAAGATGCGACCTTCCACAGATGAAAAGAAAACTCTAAACCTAGGACTCAGTCAAAAGGTGATATATCGAGTGAGTTTCTAGCAAGTCAAATCCATTAAAACGGATCTGAATGTCGATAAACTACACATAACTTCCTCAAAAAAGCTAATACTGATGCAGTAAGTTAAGGATAAGATACCGACGATATGTCTAACCATGTGCATTTATCAATTCAACTGCTCCTGTGAAACCGGTTATATAACTCGTACTCTTCATCTCTGCGCGCTTGCAAACACGTATTTGAATAGTAAATATAAGGTTTTAGTAAATCTATTGACAGTGTTATGCATTGCCACTTAATCAACCAAGGACAACATCCACGTTGAAGATGACTTCTCAGTTATATATCAATTCCTTAGTAATCTAACAAAAAGCACAAGATTACGCTTATCACATATTGATGCAGCAGTTAAGAGCAATGCAAATAAATGTATGTGTGCAAAAAGTTACACAAAACCTTTCTATTTACCTTGACCCAAATTGGGGTCGTCTCATTATTAGTTTCGACTGTATTCCCTTTCATTGATTTACATTCTCTTTTAAGATATCATTCTTATTTCTCATGGTAACTAATATCCTTAATGTTGTCACATCAGCTAGATCAAGACATTTGACATTTTGCATTAACTTGTCTTTACATACGATTTCAACTTACTGACTACAATTCTTAGCCCTAATCAAGGCATCTAATTTTTTTTACTGTTTCCGTACGACCTTTTTCTCATCAATACTAATGACATTGTTGGTTACATGCGGTATTTAAGTTTCAATCGACGAAAAGTTAGTAATTTTTACTTATAACAGAATAATTCAACTTGTAAACAGTAGTAGTTAATTTTTGATTTGTAACAGCAAAGACTGATAAGTTATTGAAAATGATCGTTAGTCTATAAAACTAGTTATTAGTTTATTTTCAACGTCTGTTTAACTTTAGCCTAAAAATTTAGAACAGTTTTATAAATGAGTACGATTCGTGCTCACAAATATCACATAAATGGCTTTAAAATCCCATGGATACTCGATTTTCTACCTTTCATCGTCCGTAGCGTGACGTATTGTGATCAGATTGCATAGAATTTCTACTTGACGAAATTATGGAGGCAGCTGCAATACTAGGAGGCCTAATACGATGAAAATACTTGATAAACAGTAATGCCGCTTAATTCTGGAAAGTATACCAAAAATCTGATAACTATTAGTACTTGTATATATATAGAGAGTATAGTGGATTGACGAACAATTTGGTCCCTACAAGAACACACCCTTGAAAAAATATACTGATTACTTGGGTTATTAACTGTTATTATTAACAGCTTATTTTGGAAACGAATAGGAAATCAAATATATGAAAGTCTAAATGTTCGTACATGAACTTACGGTATCATTATATCCGTGATTAATCCCCAGATATAAAGTGTGTGGCTTGTGTTTTGAAGTGGACCATGACGTGGACTGTACAGAATCTTCTAAACTAAGACCTTGGATGAGAGGAGGGACGTATCCTGGAGGTATAGTCGAAGTGTTTTTAACGTCAGATCGCAAATCATAAGTGCCAACTACTTTGTCAGGAGTAAGAAAATCCATGTTTAGAGATATGTACGGTGTATATATTAAAAGACTTGATAAATAATGAGGACTCCTGAATCAGTAGCAAACTGTCATAAAGTACCAAAACCCTCTTCACCTTCACGATATACATATATTAGAGTACTAAAACAAAGTCCAATTTTCAATATCTTTGTGATGAGCTTGTACAAACCAATTAATTTCTTTGCACTTGCCTTGTGCTTCCTCTGTACAGTTTCGAGTCTCCGATAAATAACAGTTTTGCTACTTCACTGCACTGACTATAATCAATGTGGTAATCATTTGTTTGCATATTTTGTAATCTGAGTGAATGGATTGGTTTTGGGGTAGAAGAAATTCTTGGTACAAACAACTATGAAGTCATCAGACAGAAAGCTAATTGGTTGCAATATTGTAAGTGAAAACAGAGAATGTAAATGATAAGAGTGAATGACTGTTTCAAGAAATAAAGACAAGTTATTTCATTGGTAATGCAGTCTTTCAGTTTCAGTTTCAGTTTGGAAAGGACAGGAGGCTTGATGGCCTGTGTTAGTCCTGGCAATGATGGTCTCTCAGCTGATCCGACTTTCTTTTGAAGGAGTCGACGGATGGAGCCTCAACCACGTGCTGAGGTAATGAATTACACTCGTTGATTATTCGATGGTAAAGTTGATAGTCAGCTGACAAGTAATTCGTTCGAAGCTTGTGAACTTTTTTGGAGTGTCCTCGTAGATTTTCTGTTTTGGAAGACAAGAAAAATGAGGGCATATCAGGTGCAAATTTGTGATTAAGCAATTTAAAATCTGTAATCAAGTCACCTCTGATTCTTCTATATGACAGCGGGAATAGGTTTAGATTGGTCAGTCTAGTACCATACGGGAGCTTCGCTATTCCGGGAATCAGCTTAGTTGCTGTTCTCTGAACCCTTTCCAAGAGTTCACTGTCTTTTTAGGCAGGGGCTAGCTGCTTGTATACAGTACTCAAGTTTAGGGCGTATGAACACTGTATACAAAGTCAGAAACGTTTTAGCGTCAAGATGCCTAAAAGCCCTGCGCATGGACCATAAAGTTTCAAAACCTTTGGCGGCTATTGCACGGCAGTGTGCAGTAGTCTTTAAGTCTTGACTGACGATGGCGCCTAAGTCATTGTGTGCCTGAACAATTGGTAACTCAGTGTTATTCATCGTGTATGTATCTGTACCCTGGTGGCCAATATGCATCACAATACACTTGGAAGTGTTTATCGGCAATTGCCAGGTTCGGGATCATTCAGATAATCTCTCCAGGTCATTTTGAAGTTCTAAGCTATCGCCCTTGCTTTGTATCGCTCTCCATATCTTGACATCATCAGCATAGAGTAAGACCGATGACGATATTAGACGAGGGAGATCATTTACGAACAGGAGGAATAACACTGGCCCCAAAACTGTACCCTGGGGGACTCCACTAAGCACAGTTTCCCAGCTAGACAACTTGGAGTTCACCCTTACTCTTTGTTGACGCCCAACTAGGAAGTCTTTTATCCACACCAATAGATTGCCTCCAATCCCGACATTCCTTAGCTTATATAACAGCCGGTTATGCGGAACTTTGTCGAAAGCTTAGCTGAAATCGATGTAAGCTACGTCTATAGGTAATTTTTGGTCCTTAAGAGCGCACCAGCTTTCACAAGCGACTAATAAGTTTGTGAGAGAAGAGTAACCTGTTCTAAAACCATGCTGCTTTACGGAGAGGATCCGGTTTTCATCGAGATACTTTAACAGCTCCTTCCGAATAATCTTTTCAAGATTTTAACAACCACACTAGTTAGGCTAATTGGTCAGTAATTCTCAGGCTTATGTTTTGTACCTGTTTTGAAGACTGGACTTACTATGGCGTTCTTCCAGTCTTTTGGTAGACGACCCTGGGTTACGGATAGATTAAAACATACACTTAAAGGGTTCGCAACAAAGTTAGCTAATTCCTTTAGTAACCTAGGATGCAGTTCATCGGGTCCAGTGGATTTACCTATGTCAAGCTTAACTAGCAGACCAAAGACATCGAGTTCTTTAATGGTTACGCTGTCCAGTGCTTGTGTGAGGGGATTTTCATGGACTGGTGAGAAGGGTGTTACTATGGTGTATACATTGCTAAAGTATTTAAAGAATACTTGACCTTTGCCAAAGTCGTCCTCCACTAGTGATGTGGCAGTACTGTCTCCACATAGTGAAGGAACATTTCTTCTTCTTTTTGTCCTTTGGTTTATATACGAATACAAGCGTTTAGGGCATTCTATGGATTCCTTAACGATTTTCTCTTCGTACAGCTTCCTGGCCTTACGGAGGGTTGAGGCACAGGTATTTCGAGCCTTTTGATACTGAGATTTTGCCTCGTCAGACCCCAGTAACCTAAATCTGTCCCACATTTTCCTTCTTTTACGGAGAAGGATGCGAACCTTCCTACTGAACCACGGTGGGGAGTTTCTCGGTCTCTTAGGTGTAGTCCAAGGGATGTGGGGGGCGGTAACTTTAAGTATAAATTCAGGAATACGTCCCAAGCCGTTTCGATTGATGACTCGGGGTCTATTTTCCAATCTACTGATGATGCTGATTTCACGATGTCTGGTATGTTTGCTTTACAGACGTTAGGTCTGGATTGAGCTGAAGCGTACTCGTGATCGACAGTTATATGTAAGTCAAAGCTTAAAACTGCATGATCACTTTTGCCTAGGGGTGACATGTAATCCAAGTTTGCAGCATCATTCTCATAATGAGTCAGTATAAGATCTAGTAAGGATGATGCAGAACCCGGGTTGTACCTAGTTGCTTCCTTCACGTGTTGCACTAGAGCACATGTGATTACCGCATCAACTAGTTCCTGTTCAAAGGAGTTTGCTGACGATTCAGTCCGCAGATTTCCCCAGTCCACCATGGGTGCATTGAAGTCAACTGGGATTAGACATCGATCACTTCGTGATAAAGTGTTGAGACTGCTTAGCAGGACCTCGTTTGCCTCACAGCTTGGACTGCGATAGATCAAACTAAGTAGCAACTTTTGTCCCCTGCATTTCAGGCGGTAGCAAACTAATTCATACGTCCCACTCTCATGGGATACACTGTCGATAATGGTGAATGGAATAGCATTCCTAATGAATAGAGCTACTCCCCCTCCTTTACGCGTTTGTGTTCTATCGGCCCTTACTAATGTAAAACCCTCGAAATCAAGTTCCCTACTATCTATAGACGGCGTCAGCCATGTTTCTGTGACTGCGATTATGTCTGGCCTAGTTGAGTCAATCTGTACACCTAGTTCCGGTAGCTTATTAAGTAAGCTCCGAACGTTGGTATAACAGATCCGAAGCTTATTTAGGTGGCCTCGTGCTTCACCCAGAGTGGCTTCGGCATCATCCTCTGTCGAAGCCTCACAACCCGAAAATTTACAATTTTCAGGTCTCTTTCGTCAGCGTCTAATCTGAGCTGTAGTTCCTTTTCGGCTTTCTGTCTTTTAACACGGTCCGCCAACGGTAAGTCTTTACGGAAAAAACTCCTGAACCCTTTAATTTGTGTCCATTTTCTAAGATTAGGTCGCGTTCGTTCGGGGATTTTAAAACGACTTTGAGTAGTCTAGACTGGTTTGGTTTCAGATGCGCTAGATGTCCTAGTCTATACACCTTTAGCAAGGTGACTCCGGGGATGTTTTTGGGCATAACTTGGTTGAGTAGTTGTTTTATCAACACAATGTGGTGCTCAAAATCAAGTCTTTGAGATCAAACTGTGAAAACTAAATAAGAAATAGAAGTGATGATACTCAAGGCACTTACAACCTAACATTGTAGTAATAACAATAGTGAATTAGGAGACATCCATCAGCCACAGATGGCCTGAACATCAGATGATAATCTATGATTAAGCACTGCTCGTCAAGTCGCCTCTTGTAGCTGTTCACTAAGGACCTTGATTTCATTTTGTCTGATGTATCATTCCAAGCTGGGGATAATATTGCTATGAAAACTGAGAACATACTCAGATTTTCGATATTTCACACGAATTTACCGTAGTTGCTTGGCTCTCAATCTCTCTGTAGTTACCAGTTGCAGAGATCGCTTGTTAGAGACAAACGGGATCATATTTTCCACAAGAAATAAATTTGTTTTAACTACATAGTGATGGATGATTTTGAAGTGACATTATGACGGATTAGGTTTTAACCTCTTGCCTACTGCTGATTCTTTTATTGTTATAAGATTTTGTTGATGCACAAGTGAATCCTTTTCGCCAAGTATAGATCTCCACTTCTCATTATCTGCGTGGTTACTGCCACTGCAGCAATTTCGCCAGGAAGATTAGTAGTAAAGATTAGTGAGAGGAGTAGACGTAAGATGATCCTCTGTAAAACCGCCGTTGTCAAAACGCTCATGCTAGAGTGCACTTTACCTTTCTGTTGAAAATCCTATTCTCCATGTCCGTTCGAATACAAGGTGAAAATGGTTAAATGAAATATATCTTCGTCATAATTATCGTTTGCGTTATCATGTCGAACACATTCGGAAATTCGAGGAAAACAAGATTGACTTGTGCCTTTTTGGTTACATTAATAACTTAATATGTGTCTAGTTATATTTTTCGTTTGTTAACAAAATTACGTTTATTATTCTTAACAATATGTCCAGGAAATAATTGTGATGTACCCAATATCTCGACGTGAACTTGTACAAATCAAGAGGTTTCTTGATATTCAGTTCTTATTGTGCTATCGCCAAGTCTAAACTAAAACAAGGTGGATGGGTAAATGACAGCTGTAAATTTATCCAAAAAGATAAATGTACAAAGTTTACTGAACAAGTATGATCGCACAGTTAGTCAGTCAATAGTTGTTCGATCAGTAGTCAAATCCAAGATACACTAATTAAACACGTTGATGAAAGATGCGACAGAATTATCATGTGCAAAATATAAACATTAATCTATTCTTTCAGAACAGATCACGTACAGATCGTTTAAAGAATAATATTTAATTTCTTCGTAACACAGAATGCCTGCA